AATTATGAAAGATGGCCACCTAATAGTAAAAGGGTCTATATTCTATTTTTGTACAACAAACATTCTAAATTCTTATAAAACTAAAAATATAATATCTGTGCTTTCTAGTGGTCCGGGTGCGATCCGAAAGGTCTGCACTACTAACTTCCTAGTGGAAAGAATGATAAAATTTAGCTAGTTCACCGTTTCTTTTAGTTTTTTTATTCTGCATCAAAATAGCTGGACCAACAAAATCTAATCAGTTCTAAGTTGCATAATTACCTATCGAATGCAATTGGCCCCACATAGATATCATTTTTTGTTCTCGAGATAATTGAAGCGAAAAATAATTCTGAACACGTATATGAACATACGTACATACACACACAGATGTCTACTCAAAAACTATTGTATTCGACTCTGTGGACCTTGAAACGTGGAGATTTGTCAAAATTCGGGATTAGCAAAATCGAACTCATTACAATAATTTCTCACTGGGAAGTTAAAAATAATAATAAATACCAGATAGCGAACATAAAGTCTCCTTGTGTTTGTGGTTTGCTATGATTAAAATTTTATAAGTTACAGGTATTGTCAAGAATCGGGTAGTACAAACAGCTAACAGAGGAACGCTTCATTCGAGCCTACTTCAATAAAATTCTCTTTTTAATTTTGTGTAAAAAAAAAAATAAATACATGCTCTAAATTATATGACTTTTTTATTTCTATAGTCCAATCATTTTATTTTTTTAACACTATTTCGAATAAAGACAATCACTGTTTGCATTCTTACTGACTTCCGTTTCAGTCTAATAATAATTAATTTTCTTTTCTTGATGTGATTTATATCTAAAACCGAATTTTTAAAATAATGAGTTAATCAAATAATTAAAAACATATTCACAAATTATATATTTTGTTTAAAATTACTGATTAGTTTTATGTTGCGCAGTAGAAGTACCATGGAAGTAAGTACCAACTGACAAGATTTTTATTAGTAGAAAAGTGAGTATTCTCCAATACTTTAAATGTTTTATGACTATACTTTATATTTAAACAAGTTATTGGACGAAAAAAAAAGGTATTGTATTTTGTTCAACATGAAGAATACTAATAAATGATAAAAACTTGACAAATTGGTTGAGTTTCTTATTCTAGTAGCGTAATATGTATTAATTAATATTAATGTTAGAAACGATGAAAAAAATCGATTTATTGAAATCGAGAGTCTTTATTGTAATTTGACATAATTATTTGATAACATGATAAGTTCATAGATCATAAACACATTATATATAATAATGATGGTATGCGACTTTGGTAATGTACCGGTTGCATTAGTATGACAAAAGTGTGCTCAGTCCTATTATATTATATTTGTTATGATTAGATCATTTGAAAGTTTTATAGCTTAGTGTCAATAGAGTCACAGCAGTTACGATGTCTGGGAGATAAAGAAAAAAAATGAATCAAAAACTAGACAGAAAAAAATTTTTATGTCCGTCAGTCGTCACTGATTAAAACATCGATAGAATGATTTTATCAATATTACCATGAGGCAGATACAATAGAAGAATATGCAAAAAAATTTTAGACGACATGGCCCAATATTTGTAACCGTTTTATATTGATAGAAAATTTCCGGACGAAAGTCTTAAAATTTGGGCCATGTCGTCTAAAATTTTTTTTTTAACTAACTACTTTTTTTAATTAAGTAAAAATTAATTGCAAAAAAATAATTCATAGTAATATTTTATCCACAAATTGACTTTTTAAATTATTGAAAGAAAATTCGAAAGAGTATTTTCTTACACTATTCATCGGAATTGAAAAAAAAATGACTTCATTTCATGGACGACATGGCATTCCATTTGATTTCAAATCTTTTTGCTGTTTTAAAATTCTTTTAAAAAATTATTGAAAAATTAGAACAAGAATCAGATTTTTTTTTTTTTTAATATATAAAAACAATTTCATAGTTTTGCGATAATGGCAAATTGAGCATGGTGCAATTCTATGATTTCAAACATTTTTTGCATATAAAACAAGTTGAAAATATTAGACTTTCAAACAACAGTGACATGGCGCCGTTTTTTTTTTACAGATATCGCACGATATCTGTTTTTGGCGGATAATACTTTACCGGATAATGTAATAAATTTATATCTATTAGGTAATGACGGTGAAAAAGTCTCAGAAAATGATTATGTGATCATTTTAATGGGGAAATGAAAAAAAAGAATTATGTATACAAGAAATTATTAAATAATTTGTTAACCATATAAATTAAAGAACTCTTCCGACCTGCAATGATAAATAGAACATGTATAGAAAATGCTTTAGTAAATATATGATTAAATTAAACTAAATATCAATACATATTTATTTTTTATATGGATATAATGTTTGCATGAAAAAGACAATATACATATAAGAAAATGATTGACAAGAAAACACGACAAAAATATTTTATATGCAATATTATATGAAAAAAATTACCTCAACTTCAAACAAGTACTCGAGTCGACGAAATTAAATAATTATGAACGATTATTAATTATTAAATATCTTCAAGATCAATATTTTCGTAAAATATTTATCAATGTCAATGTTAACCAAATAGGACGTGTCTAAGCAAATTAATATACAAATTCACACAACTCGAGACAGAATACAGTCAAGCGTTAAACATTTCATGAAAATTTAAAAATTAGAACAAAGAATGTTAAGAGATTTAGAATATGAATTTTTAACTTCTACAATAATGAAAAAACTAACTCTGTCACCTTATTCAGTACATAAAGGTATAATAATAAATTGTACAATCAATCAACTCCAAAGTAGTACAGATTATAGTTTATAGTCAAATAAACTCTCATTGATTTGTGACTTATTTGCCTTATAATTCAGACTTCTTTAATTTTTAAATTTTTTTCTTTTACAAGAATGAAGAAACTAACCCTGTTACCTTATTTTATACCTGAAAGTATAAAAATAAAGTATGGAACTAACTTCAAAGGAGTAGATATTATATATATTTGGTCAATTAAACTCTTGTTGATATGTGACCTATTTGACTAATATGTATATCTCTCACGAGAATATTTTAGTTACACTTCATCTTTATTCTGGAATCATCGTGTTTTTCTGTTACTCGTTCACGATTTCTATATTTAAAAATTTTTCAAAAATTTTTATCTAAATCTTTTAACATTCTTTTTCCTAATTTTCAAATTTTTATGAAATGTTTAACGCCTATATTCATCACTGTCTCGAGTTGTGTGAATTTGTACATTCATTTGCTTGGACACGTCCTCTTATGCAAGTTTGTTTACATAAACAAATCTTTGGTTTACATAGACATCGCTTAATATTTAACGGAAAAATTGGTCTTGAAGATATTTAATAATTAATAATGGTCAATAATTGTTTAATTTCGTCGACTCGAGTATTCATTTAAGTTGAGGTAAGTTTTTCTTTTATTAACTTAGTTATATATTTATAAACTATAAAATAATTCAGCCGTGTTTTGACGTCAATGATTCTATTCTATATTGTGTTTCTCATGCAAAGATTATACTTAATCCAAAAAAAAATAATCACATTTTGATGCCTCACTATAAGAACTTCTTATATCTATTTTTCAATGTTTTGAAATAATTAGATATACATGTTCAGAGTCACTTTATCCTAATGATAGCATTGTAGTCTTATACTAATATACCTGATACTGTATGAGATCTAGTTAGAACTTTCGAAAATAAAATAGTTACAATGTTTTTTGTGTCTTTTGATAAGTAGCACTTTTTGCAATACGTGGTTCTCATATTAACACATTGATATGTATCAATATTCAGTTTAATACAATTATAAAGTCATTAATAGCATCCCCTTTTATTGATCTATTTATTGTAGCAGATAGAAAGCGCTCTTTAATTTTCATAATAATAAATTTCAATGATCAATAAGCTCATTGACGTTCGATTGTCATTGATGTACTGTAAATAATATTTCACTTAAATGATATATCTTTCATCTCTATCCATTATAGTACAACGTGATCGTTTATCCGATTTGAGCAAGCTGTTGATGATTATTGTGTGTTATACTTTCATCTATAATCTATAATTCTCAGGTATGTTTTTATTATTTCATGTTCACTTCTATGTTCAACTCATCGTCAAGAACTTTTCAGAAAAATATTCATCCATGGTCGAAAGTTGGAGTTTTTGCCATGGATGTTGGTATGAATTGTCCATATATCAAGAGTCCATATAGCAAGAGTGAATAGCCTATACAGATTATATAGGTCTCATTGGGCTATTATGATGAGCCAACAATATATATTACAACGATAAAAATCTGCACATTCATTGAAAGGATCATGTCGCAGTATAATAAATCGATTTGCATGTACCAATAATAATCTTATGTATTCTTTTTTTTATATCACTCAGGTGGTATGAAAATTTACTATAGTAAGAAACCTTCGGGCCGAATGATTCGGCTTCCTTATACCATAAGAGCAATCGTTTTTTTAGTTTAGCCCAAGCTTAAAAAATTCTAGATGGGAAACTCAATGTAAAAAAAAAAATTACTCCCGCAGTCGGTAACTGTTTATTAGTGACCAATTACACTCGTGTCTAATTCTTAATGATGTTGAACTTGTGAGAGATAAATAATCGTATTTTTAAATATTTACTGACACTCTTGATTAATCTCATACATTCATTACACATTAAGTATCACGAAAATTCTCGTTACGGGTCTACAGAAATGTCATTTAACTCAATGTACATTTGAAATTAAAAAAAATTGATCTATAACTCATGATAACGAGATTAATAATAATTCTACTGGCCTTATTATAGAAAAAAAAATTTTTATTTGTATTTAATTAATAATTAATTTTATTGTTGAGTACATTCATATTATTTATTAGCTAACTAATAAAAATAACTAATAAAAATTTATAACTATTTTTTATTTTCATGATTTATATGAAAATGGTAGTGCACGACATTATCCGGTCCTGGGGCTTGTTGGTTTGAACTCCCTCCCTGCTGAGCCGTAACTATTTGGCCACGCCCTCTGCCACGAATTATTTTCATACCAAGATTGTCTGTTCTTCCCGCCATTGCGACGGCGGCCTCTAAAACCTAAAAAATAAGGAAGAATCATTATCGAGAACTATTCAATTTATATTTTTTTTATAAATGACGCAAACATTTGATTAAATAGCTCTCTTTTTTAAAATTAAAATTAAAATTACCATTTTGTCCTGATCCAGATGTTGGTGCTTGAGCTGGCCTGCGTACTGGTGCTTGAGCTGGCTTAGGTACTGGTGTTTGTGCTGGCTCAGGAACTGGTGCTTGTGCTGGTATCAGGTCATTTGGTGGTGGTGGTGGAGGCATTCTAAAGTAACTCATCAGAGTAGCCACCGTTTCTCGAAGTTGATTGTTGATGGCTACTTGACGAGTTAGTTCGAGATTCAATCGTGCATTTTCATTTTCTAAAAAAAAAATTTATTCATTTATAACATTTTCTTAAATTCTAAAAATGACTTCAGTGATTATTAACTAATTTTCAATGCCAATCAGGTTACTGATTTCTTTAGTAACCCGATCAGCACTAGAAATTAGTTAATAGCTAATAAAATCATATCCAAAATTGAAGCGAACAAATGATATGAAGAAAGTAATCAATATATACATATGTATATGTATATATTACTTTCTGTTGTATTTTATATATTAATGTTAATTTTACAATTGAATAAATTTGAATCTTATCATAATTATTCCACATTCATCATGTATGTTAATTATTCCCTAAAATAAATGTATAACCTCCAATAAAAATATATCTCTGATTTGTTTTCAAATCAATCAAAGATATATTTCAATTAGAAGTTACAGATTTATTTTGAACAATAATTAACACACAATAAAATTAAATTAATTTAGATTAGATTCACAACTGTTAAATATGTATTTATTTGAATAAAAAAAAAAGAACTTACCATTAGGTCCGGACATTTTAGCGACTTGCCTTTGTTGTAAGCACTGTAAAACTATTACTTTCTGAAACTTCTTCATTAATTTTTTCACGTTAATCCCCTCCCCTTCGTCTCTTGGTTTTCTCGTTGTCAAATCGCTTTTGATAAAACACGTTTAATTTTAATTTTCGGAATCCGCGTGTTAGTTTTGCGTATCATACTAGCTCCATCTAATCATTGCGCGAGAGTATAAACTAATTTATTGTTAATAAGAAAGTGAGGGTAAATGACGGAAAATGGTATAGTATCTTGTTTATTAACCAGTCAAATATCTGAATTTAATAGTCTGTAAATTAGCGGGTAAAATGGTTGTAAATCAACTATGTTTGTAATTTACCATCAGCAATGAATGTTTCACATACAGAGCATATATATATGAACATTGTACGTGCCTTTGTTTAGTATCAAACTTTAGTCTTGACCACGGTGTAAGATGAAGAGGTAGTTCGACGAGCCGACAATGTTTGAGTTCTTTAGTGTCTTAGTTCATGGCTGTCGCTAGCAAACCTAGCGGATTTTCAACGAAGTAAGACGTTAATGGTCCTCGGTCCCTCAATAGTAAAAGGATAGACGTCGAACCACCTCATTATCTTACACCGTGGTCTTGACACAAGTAAGAGGTTATTGTCACATCTCGGGTTTTCGTCATTCAGTATTCATTTATCAATTTTATATTTTATTAATAATTATTAATGAAATATAAAATTGTCAGTGATTGTAATTATTTTATGGACAAAAATGAATTGTTGACAATTCCTATTTGTTTCATTTTTATCGGATATACTAGGGTATGTTGTATAAACTAAACTTCTTTCTTAAAAAATAATGTGAGGTTAAGTTGAATTTTCAATTCATTCATAATTTACTTGAAAAGTGTGATAAATTAAAAGAAGTTTTAGTACGTATTTAAAGTGAAATAACTAAATAATTTTTAAAATGAGTTGGAAAATGTCAGAACCTTTTACAAGAAATGGTGTGATAAACAATTTTCAGCATAACAGTAATGTAAGGTAAGAATTCTAATTGAATTCTAATTACATTCAATATAATTCATGTATTATATTTTCATTTTTAAATGATTTTTTTACTACTTCAATGTTATTAATTTAATTTTTAAGATACCGTTTTAACTGATAGTGAATTTATTCCAATTTCATTACACATTAACCTTAACATGTTTATAAATTAATGAACGAAGGATAGTAAACAAAAGCGTTAATTTTTTTTTTTCTAGTGAGATAAGCGGCTTTATTGACTCTATCGAGGGAACCAAGTATGTTAAAGGGAAAATCAATGGAGCATAATTATTAATAATGATCAAGGACGTCGTATTAGGGTTGTTTTCTAGTCAGATCTGGCGGTCAAATATCTCCAGAAAACAAAATTTCATTCGGTAAATTATTTTTTGGAATCAAATGCTTTTAACATGTTGAGAAATTTGATTAAATTAAACTATAAACTAACACAACGAAATTATTTCATTGTTGCAGATTATGTTATTTGAAGATATTTACTGTCAAAGAAGACCCCTTAATCGGAGAATAAATCAGGAAAATTTATATCATTTACAATTGTTTGTCAAGTTCTACACAACAGTAAATATTTTTTTCGAGATGTTCAAGCCAGATTTGATTTCACAACAAGCAACCTTAAAGGATGTTTTTCTCAGGCAACATCAAATACAACGTAAGTTGTTTGTTTTCGAGTATTTGTTGTCATAACATCTTTCAATATGATGATAATTAGGCTTCAAATCCATTTTCGATGTCCAGGGTTGTCTGCAAAACCCTTTACATTAAGTAACAGTCCTCGTTACAGTTATTGGTCAGGTATTGTAAATGATCGTTACTCATCAGTACGAGTACATATTTTGAATCACATGTTTGATCTGGATTTAAAAATTGGCCAACTGATTAGTTTTTTAGCTGAATCGCAATGTGATCGTATGTGAATACATGTATTAATATATCTTGAATACACTAGAATAATTTACAGCAGATTATATAAATGATTTAATTATTGTTCAGGAGATGGTAATTTTTTTTTAGCAGTAGTCGACACAAGAGACATTCAAGTTTTTGATGACATAATTACTGAAGAGAAGATGCGAACAGAGGGTGGTTTGCTTCTGCCTGGTCAATAAAGTGTATATCAAATGCTGTACATACAAAAAATAATGTTGTATGCGTTAATATGCATATTTTTTTTCTTATTAAATGTCAAAATTCCTTTTTTTTGAATCATTAAAAATAATTTAAATCACATCTATTAATCTACTGTACATTCATACGGTACCAAAATAAATTTTATTACTAATTGTATCATTATTGTAACATCGAATTCGATTTTTTCATATAGTAATATTTACCTAAAAACATTTAAATTAATTTATCATTTGTATACTTGCGTTAAGACAAAAATGAATTTTTTTATAATTTTTCATAATTTATTAGCCATTTCAATCAATAAAAACTTTTTACATCAAGGAAATATTAGATTGGATCAATACTTGCTCAAGAATGACCTTCTTTAGTTATCGAGTTATCGTGAATAGAAATTAAACAAAAATATTTGATCTAGATGATTAATTAATTAATGAGGTTTTCATATGATGCAGAGGCCAATGCCTTACGAAGCTCTTTAATCATTCTATTCTCATTTATAAATTTTTCCATACTGATTAACCATGTAAATACTGAAGAATCGAAAGTTAATTTGTTAATGTATCTCACGACTATGCTTTACACTTGTCAAGTTAATTTGAAGAACATAATATTAAAATTGAAGATGTATTAAATTACCAATTATTTATTCAAAAATTCAAATGAACAACCATGAATCAGCTATGTAAATTTTTTTGTGTAAATACTCTAATTAACAACATTTAATAAATGAAATTGAAAAACAAAGTAGAAGAACTATATTTATTTCATCATTTGTTTATTTATTTAGTTCATACTCCAATCAATAAAAATTTTATTTAAACATTCATATTTTATCAGAAGAATCAGATCTATATCTATACTGTAAAATAAGACTCAATAACAATTTCAGAAAATAAGTATATTAATTAAAATGTTTATTAATGATTGACAGCAATTAATTAAAAGTAAGAATCCGTGCGGTCAACTCAAGTCTCAGACAAAAACTGGAGATAAACAAACTCTCCCCTCGTTGCTATAAATCGTCAAGCAATCGATGTTAACTAACAATCTGTCGTTAGTCTAATAGTAATGACTAGTCTAATGAGATGGCGACATACAAATATTTTACACTTCTCCCGATTTTATAAAAATTGCCGACTGGCAATTCCTATTAGTTGGGTAAAAATATTGGATTAGGCTAAAATAAATAAACATGTAAAATCTAAAATTACATTTCTAATTCGAAATTATGAAAATCAAATTAATAATCATTCAAAATTATAAAGATGAATCAAGTTATTATTCAGCCTAGATTCCAATATTGCCGCTTCCCAACTCTGTCTGCTTTAAAAATAAATAAAACAAATAATTAGGAGGGAAAAATCCTGCGGCGGGTAAAAACCTCCAAACAGACCAAAATGATTTAAATTAAACTAAAAACGTGATTCTATACAATAAAAGATTTCTTAAAAACTAATCGTCCGTTAGTCAAATTAAAAATTAAAAATTAAAATTTCCATCTTCAATTCCCTTTCCATCCTTCTTTTTCATCAGGAGGAACCACTAGAAAGAACCAAAAGAACCCAAAGAGTAGGAAATGCCAAGAACTGGAAGGTCATGGAACTGAACAAAATGAAAGTTCCTCACAGAATCAAAGTTCAAAATTTCATTTTTAATCATAAATTCAATGTTCAATTAATAACTAGGTTGAATGGTCACATTTCATGGAGTCAATTCTCCAAATAAATTCCGACTTCGCATCCTTTTTTAAAATAAATCCGACTCTCAAATAAATGATTCAATATCATTAAAACAATCAATTCAATTCCACCTTGCGCAAGGAATTTTCAAAAATAAGTTCAATAGCTTCTGCTCACTGTGCAAACTAAATTATTAAAAATTGGGCTCACAGTTAAGCATACTATCCGAACAAAAATATTAGGATACCATGGACATCTAGTACCTCACTTTGTTTCACTTCGGCCAATAAATGAAGAAAAGGATTCCAGTACAATGACTCCAACTGTGTATATCCTACAGTAACTCCACGAGAACGCTCCAGAACAGACATTGTAAATTTAAATCAACAATCAAATGATCAATGAAAGCCAACATTCTCAGACTGGCAGTTACAAAAACCCTGAATTCAACAGAAATAAGGAATCCAGTAAGAGTCAAAATAACTAATTATCTTCATAAGGAGCGAGTCTATTCACATGAACAACTTTCAAACGACCATTCGGAATTTTATGAATTCGAAATACAACATCATTAAGTTTGTTTTTGATATATGGACCTCCTACTCACATTGAAGTTTTGGACACTTTCCTTTAACTCTTTTAGTGAAAAATAACCAAACCTTTTGACCGACATCAAAAAAAAGAATATTAGATTTCAAATCATACATATACTTAAGTTTTTCAGATTTAATTTGCAACTTATCCCGTACATTATCATGAACAATCTTTAATTGTTCACGAAGATTAAAACAAAATCAGTTATAGAATTATCCTCAAAAGAATTATCTGAAGGATTAATTCCTCTAAGAAGATCAATAGGCAACCTTAATTCACGACCTAACATCAATAAAGCTGGAGAATACTAAGTAGTTTCATGTTTTGAAGAACGATAAGCCAACAAAAATAAAGAAATCCACTTATCCCAATCTTTTTGATTTTTACTAATAAATTTGGACAAATATTGAAGAATAGTCCTATGCAACCTTTCAACTAAACCATTTGATTGGGGATGAAGAGGTGTGGTTCTTGTCTTCTTAATACCAAAAAGACTCATGACCTCCTTGAAGATTTCAGATTCAAATTCTCGACCCTGATCAGAATGAATTTCAATAGGAACACCATATCTACAAAATATTTGAGTTACTAAAGCCTCAGCAATAGTAGAAGCCTGATGATTAGGCAGAGGAATCGCCTCAGGCCATCTAGTAAAATAATCTGTAACAACAAGTAAAAATTTATTTCCAGAAGAGGTTTTAGTAAGAGGACCAAGAATATCAATGGCAACCCTTTCAAAAGGAGAACCAACATTATGAATTTGAAGTTGACCACAAGACTTTTTATGGGGACCCTTTTTAGCGAAACAAACTTTGCATTTTTTACAACCAAATCTCAACATCTTGCTTAAGAGTTGCCCAGAAAAATCGTTGACGAATTTTTGAAATCGTTTTATTAATACCAAAATGACCACCAGAAGGAGAATTATGAGCCTCATGAATTATTTCATTCACTTTAGCTCGAGGAATGACAACCTGATAAATAATATGAGAAAGATTTGGAGCTTCCCAACGTTTAACTAAAACACCATTTTTCAATTCTAAAGAATTCCAATAAAGTAAATAAATTTTAAAAGTAGAATCCACATGTGAAACATCATTAAACTCGGGAACTTTATTTTCCTTTTGAATTTAATAATTAAACTCAAAATGTTATCATCACTTTGAAATTTGATCCAATCAGAATCATTATTAATTTCACAAATGACACGGAAAATATGCCTACTATCACATTTTTCATCAGAATCTATTTTCAGACATTTTTTACAATCACATGGACGCCGAGAAAGACCATCAGCATTGCCATGTTTATGACCAGGTCTATGTTGAACTTCAAAATCATATTGAAATAAGATTTCAAACCAACGAGCTATTTGATCTTGAGGATTTTTGAAAGAAAGTAACCAAGTGAGAGAGGCATGATCAGTTCTAATAGTGAACCTCTTGCCAAGAAGAAAATGACGAAAATGTCCAACAGAAATAACAACAGCTAATAATTCTTTCCTAGTAACACAATAGTTACGTTCTCGATTATTTAAAGTCTTACTAAAGTAAGCAATAACTTTTTCTTCATAAACAGTCTCACCATTATTATTAACTGGAATCTTTTGAGATAACACAGCACCAATGCCAACATTTGAAGCATCAGTATCAAGAATAAAAGGATAATTTGGATCAGGATAACCCAAAATTGGAGTAGAAGTCAAAATTTGTTTCAATTTTTGAAACGTTTGAAAAGCTAAATCATCCCAAATAAAATCTTTCTTTTCCTGACTAATAAGATATAAAGGTTTTGCAATAGTAGCAAAATCTTTGACGAATTTCCTGTAATAAGAACAAAGACCTAGAAAACTTCTAAGTTCAGATTTATTCTTAGGAACAGGTCAATTAATAATAGCAGAAATTTTATCTGGAGAACTTTTCAGTCCTTCACCAGAAACTACATGTCCAAGGAAAATAACTTCTTTTTGGAGAAATATACATTTCTTAGGATTTATCTTAAGAGAAGCTTGTAAAAGTCTTTTAAAAAACATTTTGAAGATGAATAAAATGTTCATCAAGACTTTTACTGAAAATAATAATATCATCCAAATAAACTAAACAAATTTTACCAAGAAGACCTTTTGAAACTATATTCATAAGTTTAACGAAAGTAGCAGGAGCATTACACAAACCAAAAGGAAGAACCTTAAATTGCCAAACCTCATTCCAAATACAAAAAGCAGTTTTAGATCTATCCTCCGAAGCAACTTCAACTTGCCAATATCCACTTTTTAAATCAACGGTAGAAAACCATCGAGCACCAACAACCATATTCATTGTAAAATCAGTAGAATCAGTAAATAAACCAGACTTGATTAAGAAATCTAATCCTAGAATACATTCTTCTTCAATTTGAGCAAAAACAACCTCTAAATTAACCTTAATATTGGAAATTTTTATTTCTACAGTCTCGATAAAATCATAATCAAATTTATCACCTGAAACGTAATATCCGCAGCAGTATCAACTGTCATAATACATTTTTTGCCATTAACGTCCCCTCTAGTAAAAGTAAAAGTTTCGGTTTAGAATCAGAAGAATAAAAAAAATCAATTGAATTAATTTTTAGTTTTGACGAAATTTTTCTTTGGATGAACTTTTACCAGTAGACTTATTGGAATTATGAATACTTGATAAACTACTTTGAACAGGTCGAAGAACTTGACAATTCTTCTTAGAATGTCCTTTTTCACCACAAATCCAACATTGGAAAATTTGCGAAGAATTTTGATTTTGGGAATTTCCCCTAAAATTTCCTTTAAACGAATTATTTTTATCATCCTTTTTGAAATTATTTCTAAAATTATTATTTTTATTGAAATTATAATTATTTTTACTCAAATTATTGTTATTCTTATTATTGAATTTATTTTTATTCTGACCTCCAAAGGTCAAATCGTCAATCGATTCAAGCTCTAAAG